GGGAACTCTGAAAGGAGTGTGTCATGTCAGTATGGGAACTCCAAAAGCGGTGTGTAACTTCAGTATGGGAACTCAGAAAGGGTTGTGTCACTTCAGTATGGGAACTCAGAAAGGGGTGTGTCACTTCAGCATGGGAACTAAGAAAGGGGTGTGTCATGTCAGTATGTGATCTCAGAAAGCGGTGTGTCACTTCAGTATGGGATCTCAGGAAGGGTTGTGTCATGTAAGTAGAAAGAGGTGTGTCATGTCAGTATGGGATCTCAGAAAGGGTTGTGTCACTTCAGTATGGGAACTCAGAAAGCAGTGTGTCACTTCAGCATGGGAACTAAGAAAGGGGTGTGTCATGTCAGCATGAGAACTCAGAAAGGGGTCAGTCATGTAAGTAGAAAGAGGTGTGTCATGTCAGTATGGGATCTCAGAAAGGGGCTTGTCACTTCAATATGGGAACTCAGAAAGGGGTGTGACATGTCAGTAGAATGGGGTGTGTCACTTCAATCACAGGGGCTAGCAACAATTTATGTGTGATATGAATAAAAATAGTGAGAAAAAATACGTAACTGTACATAACATATATGCACAGTTACATATTTTTTCTCACTATTTTTATTCTTATCACATATAAATCGTTGCTAGCCCCTGCATTTGTTTCAATATGGGAACTCAGAAAGGGGCTTGTCACTATGGGAACTCAGAAAGGGGTGTGTCTTGTCAGTATGAGAGCCGAGAAAGAGGGTGTTTGTATGTACTGGCTGGCTTATAGGTGTTTTATTTTCTATCAGGTTGTCCATATCTTTGTAAGCAGCTGATGAATGCCAGTGTCTGTAAGATTTGTATCTGTCAAAAGTAGACAGGATACAGACCTCACTGTAAATTTCTATCAGACACCTAATCTGTTTCAGTATACAAAGTATGACTTATTAATGCTTCTGACAAATGACCAAGCTTGTGTGCAATGGAGATTCTTTTATAATCCACCACCTAAAACACCGACACAAATGAATAAAAGATCAAATTTATCTTTTCATTTACTGTAACCTGTATTACAAGACCACCAATGAAAGGTACAAATTAAGTGTTCTCTTACTTATAACAGAGATGACTTTCAATGGAGTATTTATATAGTACACTGCTTTGTGGATTATAAATGGAGGTCTCATAAGACAAAGAATTGCTTAATTAGGGTGGTTTCTCAAGACAAGATTACGACTGAAATAAACATTTCTTCACTTCAATTTCTCGTGGATATTTTTGAAATGTTTTGCCCTAATATTCTGAACAAGATTTTATTTATTTTTTGGCAAAAACACAAAGATCATGAAACCCGTCAAATCTGACCCCACAGTATTCAAATAAACTGTCTAATCCGACCCTATTCTGACCTGCAGCCTAATCTGACCCCATTTTGACCTCCAGTCTAATCCGACCCCACAAACATCACAGACAACCTTGCAGCTTTAATCCAAACTTTTCTTAGTAAAATGTCACATGTATAAGACTAACACTGTCTAATCTGTTGGTTGGTTAGTGGTTTTAGGTCTGTCTTTCACTGACGGTAGTCTGTGTTTCAGTTGTCTTGAGGGGGTAAGTTGCCGCTTACCAGACCCCCTTAGATTCAAAATGTCCTAGGCCTGTCCAGGTCATCCCCCAAGGTCGGACTGCCTCTCAGATGGGGATAGGCTGTCACAGCGGCTTTGGTCCACAGATTCATTCCTTTGCGTGGTCCCCATTGCCCGCCTATGCCTATATCTAATCTGTCCATTTTGTTGGATTTTACACAGAGTCAAACAAGACAGGTTTCACCTTTCAGTCATAAACCTTTGTTACAAATATTCCATATCCTGATAATTTGTGGTCCTCTGGCACCTATGCTTTAAATCATTTACCCCTGAAGACACATTTGAACTCCTCCAATGGTTGGAATAGTTCATTATGAATATTCAGGGATGAATTAGTTAATTTGGTTGTCAAGGTCCTGTCAACTTTAATACCATTGTTCTCTATAACATTCTTTTACGGCATGTCTGAGATTTTGTAGAGTTATTGTAAATCCTAATATTTCTATTCCATGAAACTACCAACTTTAACCATTTAATATTTGCCCACGACAGTGAGTAGGTTATCCTTGGCAACATCACAGCATCAACAATGGGATGTGATATTACTGATTTTTACCTACTTTAACAGTTTTCCAACAATTTCCAATACATTTCAATATTATTTCACTACATTTTCAATATTGTTTCACTACGTCTAAGCATAGTTTGAAGTACATTTCAGTATTGTTCCAGTATCCTGATAACATATTTAATAAAGAGACCTATGAGTATGAAAACTTGCTTTGGTCAAGCTGATAGGGTGATTGTTCAGTCTCGGTTTCACGTAACACAAAAAATAATCAAAATAAAACACATATAAAGGTTTATGATTTTTTATGATGAATAGCACCTTGTTTCTTCAAAGAACATTACATGAAACACAACATTTGTATACATAGACATAATAACACATTCTCTCCTCGTACATATAGTATCTACTTAACATCTACACCACATCCTTATAGCAGTCAAAATCTTCCAGTCACTTTACAAATTCATTTTCACAGCTTCTCAAAACAGACATACTTACAGTATTCATATATTTTAAGAACATATTTGAACCTCTTGGAACTTCTTTTTAGTACGTATGAATTTGAAGTTAATTTGCTTTTGACTTTTCTCGTCATAAAGATGTATGACAATTTAAGGTTGAGTCCCAGTTTGCTGTATCTCCAAAAAAGAAGAGTTCCAATTGGATGGGCATTGTAGCATGGCCATGTACATTGTACTTCTATAAAAAGTTTAATAGATAAGAAATATATATATTATAATTTCCCCTTTTCGCAAAAATACCTCAGCTCCATAACAGGGATTTGATACCTTGATTTCTAGATTATAAAGCAAGAAGTTTATCCACTGTGCCACAGGTCCTGATATTTGTTAATACTTTTCTGCAACTATATTGGTAATAATCTCAAACAGCTTAACTCCCTAAAAAGGCCCACAACCATCAATGTCTTTGTATAGAGAAAAAAAAACCATAAATTTAACAGGAAAATCATTTGTTAAGACCTATACGCATTAGAAAAAGTGATGGGACTCTCTTCCTTAAAAAGCCACACATGAAATAAAACTCAAGGACACAACCTCCGTTATAACCCTAGGGCACACTTTGAACAAACTGTAACCACATACTGTTTGGTATAATGGAAATGAAGCATCCTTTCACGGACTTGTGCAGTTCAAGTTTTATTATATCTTATTTTGAATTTTTGCATCTGAACAAAGCTCCTTTAGTTTACACAAGATCTGAATTTAAATTTAAATTGGGTTAGGTTAACTTCAAAATGTTTCATTAATCAAAACCAAGATTTTAATTGGTTTCACATATTTTTACCTTTTCTGTCAATACCCAAGAGCAAAATTATTACTGGTACAAATACTGACAAAAACAATTCACACAAACATAATAACATATTTATACTTCCTCAAACAGACTAGAATCAATTTTATAAATATGAATTCTCAAGAGTTCCCTATGAGAACTCAATAGTCATGAAACGATGAAATATATTAAATCAATACTAGATATACATATATGTATATATATATATCTACATTTCTAAATATGTCAGCATTTTTTGTAATATTAAATAAATAGACCTTTGTTACTTGTCACTTGGTCACTCACTAAATCTTTTCAAATCAAATACAGACAATAATTTCTCACAACTTTTACGACATAGAGTTGTCTCCTCTCTCAACACAATTTCTCCTCTTAGACAAAATATAAAATATTATTCGTTTAATCCGAAAGTTTTTCATTATTTCTGTTATAGGTTGTTTTAGCTGATGGAACCACAACTCCTAGGTCCAATCGATTTCAAATGATTTTAAAATTTTAAATCAATATTTTATTCTGAATTTTATTCTATCGGTCAGATAATAATGGATTTTTTTTTTTAAACTTTCGGACCTAGAAGCTACAGTTACCGCAACTAAGATTGTTTATTACATTTCAGATTATTTCCTTTATACTTTGTGAATATATGCACACAAAGTAATCATTGCAGAGAATACATTTAAAATTAACTTCACAAAAATTTAACAAAAAATCTCTGTTAAACAAAATCGAAAGTAAATATTTTACCTACATCGATTTCATATTGGATGGAATTCTGAAAAAAAATTATACAAAACCATTATTGTTTTTAATGGAAAAATTGAGGTCAAGAAATGTGAACCGTATAACCACATGTTCACATGATGCACCGAAATTAGTATCAAGTATGACATTAATATAATGTGCATGTGCAGCAAAAATTTGTATTAAAAAATCAACCATTAACTCATTCACCCCTGCAGACACATTTGGACCCTTCCAATTCAAAGGTTGGAATAGTCCATTATGAAACTTCAGGGGAGAATGAGTTAAGACTGCATTATATTTACATTTGTGTATCCTCCGTTCATGTATAAACGGAAAAATAACAAAACCAGAAACAAGAAAAAAATGACAAGAACTGCGATGGGAATGTATTAAGATTGATGACATATGGCACCTGTCTACTATAAAGTAATTCTGACATGATTTTGATTCCATTTGATTAGAAGGTATGTATGCCACACATGGTCGGCAAAGATAAAGGTTTAGAGGTGAGAGGGAGGCGAAAACCAGATGAGTACTTTTTTATTCAATTCTATAAATTGAATCATTGTGTTGCTAATTCTGGGTTAGTTGGTCAAATAGGTTGGGGGATGGAAGGAGGAGGAAGAGGAGGGGAAGGGGGAGAGATGAAGGAGAAGGAAGGAAAAGGAAAAGGAAGGAGAAGGGAGGGTTGGGTGGGGAAGGAGAGAGAGAGGGAGAGGATGTGGGGAAGTTGGACATATACTTATCATCACATACCTACAGAAGGAATGTAAAAACCAAACTAACTAATACTGGTACTTACTCCCAACATCTCGTTTTATTACTTACATGCATGATTAGATATTCTCATGACAGTCCATTTATGATAAAGATAGGACAAAAAAGGGGCACGGCTAGGAAGGGGCAGGGAGTCAGGAAGGGGCAGGGAGTTAGGAAGGGGCATGGCTAGGAAGAAAGAACCAGGTAGTTAGGAAGGGGCAGGGTAAGGCTATATTTGTATGTTACATGTATTAAGAAAGAAGACGGCATATTCAGTACTGCAGATAAACCAATCATGTTGTATTTTGCCTTGTTACATATTATGCATAAAGTAATACAGAATCCTTGCCACTTAGCATTGAGATTGATACTTGAACAGATCGGTTGATTAAAACAATTTTTTTTATTTTCCTTTTGGAGCTTCTTGAACTAATAAAAAAAATGCTAACTCACATCAAAGGAAAAAGAAATTAATTAATCAAAATGTCAGGAGATTACATCTGCATATGTTGCTATGGCAACCATTTCAGGTGATCTGTAATTAGATGTAACTGCAGGGGATTAATTACTGGCAGCCATGTTGGATTCTGTTTAGAAGCAAGTATTATTAGATGACCTGGTACCAGATCCCTCTCTGTTACGACTGTGAAGGTTCAGTCTATATAATACTTCTGTATAGTTAATGTTTGTTACGACACGACTTAAATGTAATTTAATGTACCAAATTATGAGAAATGACAATGAAAGAATTGATCGACTTTTTATGATGGCCTCTTGACCTGTTAATTAATCGATGGAATCTGAAACAAATGACGCCTATTCCCTCTCAAAGGTAGTCTGTCATCACTGTGATTATGGTCCTACATATACTTTATAATCATGATTAGATTTGAAAAATACTCTATCAACATTTGTTACACAAAATAATCATATTCAATATTGCAAAAAGGCCCCAATTATCAGCTTTGTAGATAATCTCAAGATCTGATCATAATTACAGAAATTATCAGTCAAACGTGTATCTACTTGAAGAAAACATTCTATAAATACCAATTTCTTCATCTTATTTTTTTTTTATCTGAATAAGCTTTCTTACTTTTTCATCAAAACAAAAAATTTAAAGTTTTAAATTGTAATAATTTCTCTGAATTTAAGAAGAAAAACATCAATATCATTGAATCACGAAAAATGTAATCCAACAAAACACTTATACCAGAGAAAGAAGTCACTTGAACATGCCCAGTACCCTAGGTTACCTGTAATAAGACCACGCTCAGTATAATCCATCCTTCCCCGTGTCCAACCAACTTAACAAATAACGGTGATTTCTGTTTTCATTCTGGATACAGAGCAGGATCTAGGATTAAGCCCAGTATACCCTGCCCACACTCAATTCATTCACCCCTGAAGACACATTTGAACTCTTCCAATTTAACGGTTGGAATAGTCCATTATGAAATTTCAGGGGTGAATGAGTTGACATCTTTCTAAGGACTAAGGCACCTGGCCTTACCACAGGTAAGAACGGTAATAAGCCTAGATTTCTTCCTCCATATGTTTGCCAAGAAGCTTTTTGATTGGATCAAGAGAATATCCACCGACTGTTTCGTGCTATGAAGTGTAAATATTGGCCTTAAATCGGTCTAAACAGTCTGAGTCTGTTGACGCATGTCTGCTCATACGTTTTTTTATCAAGGGTTTACGTGTGGGCGAGGTCGGAGAACGAGGAGCCTCAGGTGACGATGAAAGATTTGAGCTCATATCTAGTGAGACCTGATTCATATCAACTGGCAAACTGTCACGCCTTTGGTCTGATTGGTTGGCATACGAGTCATGACTAGGTGATTGGTTGACAAGAAGTCGGCTCTCGGCATTGCTTTCCAGTGGAGATAGTGGTACAACATTGGGAAGACTTTTAACACTACTTGTGTCACTTTCTACAAAACTACGTTCATACACTCTATCAAACTCCCACTCCATACTGGCAGCGAGATTGAGCGCAGACATGGGGCGCATCGTATCGGTGCCCGTGGTCCCTATACTGGTCCTTTCTAGGTCCATGCTGTTTTTGTACTGGTCATAACACTGACCACTGACCGATCCCTGATGTTTCTTATTATTGTTATTGTGAGCCTCGTTCTCAGTTCTGTAAAAACCACCATTGAGAACTCCTCGTGGAATCGCCCCATTTCCTAAAGCTTCCCCATTTAAGGCAGTACTCCTCATAGCACTTCCATTGACGAGGTCGGGAAGACTCGTTGCCAGTTCTGAATCACAATAATTCAATTCTTCCTCACTACGAAATCGTACCAGGCCATCTTCTATCACAAGGTGAGACGGAGTCTCTGAAACCTGTCGATGAAAGTGTCCGTTTAAGTGAGGAGCATATGTCACATGTGGTTTCAGCATTGTTTCTGATTTCACACCCTCGTCACCTTTATCATAATATTTCATGTTTTTCTGTAAATCTTTCTGGGTGTCTGACATTACATGCCCGTCGGAATTTGTTGAGGTTTCGGTATTATCGTTTGACCCCTGACCACCACAGCTACAAAAAATACGCTTTAAAGGCATCATTAACAACCAGCACGTGGTCTCCTTGTCCCGTCGCCGGTACTTCAGTGGCTGAGATGCCACATACACCATAGTGGCACACATAAGTAACTCCATAAGCCGAAGCAAGAACTTGTAGGTATACCAGGGCCAGGCTTCCGGAGTGTGGCCCGTCTTTAACAATTTAAACACACCAAAAATTCCATACAATTCCAAAGCAACACACATTAATCCAAAGATGGCCGCCACAAAGGTCACTTTAATGGAAAGACTGATTGTGTATTTTGATGACAGTTTCTTTTTCGTGCGTTCTGTGACAGATGAAGTGCTGGTGGACAGCGTCTGTTGAAGCATGTTTTTCTGTCGCTTGATTGCGGCACTATACAGCCGCCGGAATAGGTAGAAATATCCCACAAATAGTACGATGCCCCATACCACATAAAAGAACTGACACACCAATAGCAACACACGAGCTTCCGAGAATATTCCCACTATAACATCGGTGACCAGGGACAGGGCGAAATGAAACAATATAATTCCAATAAGCACTGATAGTTTCTGGATCTTGGGCGAAATCACCTGCATCTTTGTGGCGATCAGCAACGCATAAAACAGAATACTGAACGCGGATGTGAGGCATGGAAACGCTGTACTGTAGAGGAAGTAGTCCACAATATTGTGGAAAGTGTTATTGATATTGTGAGCATCCACCAGCAGGTACGATCCACGCAATGTACACTTGATGATGATTAGGATGTTGAGTGTGACAAAATAGTTCTTACTGAGGAGTTGGTTCATGCCCCAGAGCCGGATCACACTCAGGAGACTGAACAAGGCCAACACCAGAAACATGATCCCGAAGAAGTAGATGAAGAAATACCAGCCCCACTGCCACAATTCCATTGCAGCCTCCCAGTCTGGTCTGGGTTCAGAAAACACTGATGGCTCACCTTCTGGTTCACTTTCTGGTTCAGGCTCAGAAGTGGAGTTTGTAGGCTCTGAGCCTGGTTCAGCTGTTTCTGGCTCTACAGTGGCATTAGGTTCAGGAGAAGTAGAAGGCTCAGGTGAGGCAGAGGGTTCTGGTGTGACAGAGGGTTCAGGTGTGACAGAAGGTTCTGGTGAGGCAGAGGGTTCTGGTGTGACAGAGGGTTCTGGTGTGACAGAGGGTTCAGGTGTGACAGAGGGTTCAGGTGAGGCAGAGGGTTCTGGTGTAACAGGTTCAGATGTGACAGAGGGTTCAGGTGTAGCAGATGGTTCTGGTGTGGGAGAGGGTTCTGGTGAGGCAGGATAAAGAGTGATACTTGGTTCTGGAGTTGTGGTAGGTTCTGGAGTTGTGGTAGGTTCTGGAGTTGGGGTGCGTTCTGGGGTTGTGGTGGGTTCTGTAGTTGTGGGTTTTGGAGGTGTGGTGGGTTCTGGAGTTGTGGTAGGTTCTGGAGTTGGGGTGCGTTCTGGGGTTGTGGTGGGTTCTGTAGTTGTGGGTTCTGGAGTTGTGGTGGGTTCTGGAGTTGTGGTGGGTTCTGGAGTTGTGGTAGGTTCTGGAGCTGGGGTGGGGTCTGGAGTTGTGGTGGGGTCTGGAGGTGTAGTGGGGTCTGGGGTTGTGGGGGGTTCTGGGGTTGTGGTAGGTTCTGGAGTTGGGCTGCGTTCTGGGGTTGTGGTGGGTGCTGTAGTTGTGGGTTTTGGAGGGGTGGTGGGGTCTGGAGTTGTGGTGGGTTTTTGAGTTGTTGTGGGTTTTGGAGGGGTGGTGGGGTCTGGAGTTGGGGGGGGTTCTGGGGTTGTGGTAGGTTCTGGGGTTGTGGTGGGTTCTGTAGGTGTGGGTTTTTGAGGTGTGGTGGGTTCTGGAGTTGTGGTAGGTTCTGGAGTTGGGGTGGGTTCTGGAGTTGGGGTGGGTTCTGGAGTTGTAGTGGGTTCTGGAGTTGTGGTGGGTTTTTGAGTTGTTGTGGGTTTTGGAGTTGTGGGATTTGAGGTTATGATAGGTTTTGGAGTTGTTGTGGATGATGGAGATGTGAAGGGCTTTGCTGTTGTGGAGGACTGTGTTGATGTACTGGGGTCTGCAGTTATAGGCTGTGGTATTGTAGTAATCTCTAGTGTGGTTATAGGTTTCATTGAGGTTGTAAGACCTGACAATGATTCTGGGGTAGTGTTGATGACAGTACCTGAACCTTCTGAACCAATCAAATCATACGTCTCATTCACTGTCTGCTGATTGGTTGAACCACCAAAGCTGTTTGAAGTCATGTCCCCTAATACACTATCCAGTGTTGTAGCTTGTGGTTGATTTGGGACAATGTTAGATGGAGTTACCTCCCCTACGTCTCTAACCACACGTTTCTTTCTCTTATTAGCTTCCCTGGTGACCTGTTGACCCGTAAGTGAATCAATATGAGGCTCTGTCCCCAGAAATAATCTTAGGATGTCTATTTCCGCAGCTAATTGAGTTTTCGTCCCTGCCGTCTGCTGGGAGCTCTTCACTCCACTTACCGCCTCATCCATTACTTTAACGCCTTTTGATTTCTCAGTGTAATCTTTTTTCATCCATTTCAGCCTCCTCCAGGTATCCTTTCCAACGTTTTTCTTGTGTAACTTAGAAAACGACATTGGCTCTGAAGCTGATTTCTCCCGGATTAAATTATCACTCCCATCAAGCCACTGAAAATGGACTTGCGATGGTTGGTATGTCCAAGCATTTTCCTCTTCATATTTAAATTTGGTGGGCTGCCTTGATGACACTAGCACACACAAGATGGCTACGATCACGGCTTTGGTCACGTTTATCTGGATACAATGAAGTTCCATGATATTAAAATTAAAAGGCTCATATTTGAAACACAGGCGACATCAATGTGTTCTTCTATTACTGCAAAACATTCACATGATGCTGATCAGTCTGTCGTCCTGTCTGTGGATTGGTTTCCATTCTGGCTACATTTCTGGCTATTTCAAATTCGTCCTAAGTTGGTCGAAATTGTGTTCATCACTTAGAGCCTGTAAAACAAAAAGAAAAGAAATTAAAGAATCCATCATGATTATTGATTCTAACACAGTTTTCTTTATTACTTTCACACCTTATGTAAATGTCCAACTATGTAATAAAATTTGGAACAGACAATAATTTTGTGTATCAGTACATCCGAGAGCTACAGCGCAATCCGTTGAAAGTGAGAACAAATCCACCTGTCTGCCAAAAATTCAATTACTAGGTCAAGCTTGTAATCTTTCAATCAATACAACTTCCAAACCTTTCCTGAACAGAACTGAATCCTCTAAATGTTTTGATCCTGACCATAACAACTACTGGTCTACAAGCATCCAGACAGTGTTATATATAAACACTATTTTGACCATTACAAAGACTGTTTATTGGGGTGTCCCCTTATAAGAACAGGCTATACTCTTTATTTAGAATATAGTTTGCATCTTCCTATAGGAGTCCATCATCTCTAAACACGATATTTGTTGTATGTTAACGAGGTGTGCGACACCTGAGTTAACTTTATTACAGAAGTCATAACATCAGACGAAATCTTTCACAAAGTCCCACGACAATCAAACATACATGCATGAGTACATCTGTAACTTCTGATCCTGAAGATAAACAATGGTTCAGTGCAATCAGAAATTCGTGCCACACCCACACAACAGCGTAACATCTCTTTAAACATTGCAAAAGTTCTCATGACTAGAATTTCTAAATTGAATATTGGCGTCTTCAAAAACATGAAAACATATTATCAGAGTTCTGGATTTAAATGAAGAGCATCTTTAAGCATGCAATCGGAATTCATCAACTTCAAATAATTACAAGTTCAAAACGAGTTATTCCAGGTTCTATCCAATGAGGGGGAATTTATTACACAGTTCTCTTTGAAATATTTCATATAAAAATTGTGCATGATAATATATTTGGCTTCCCACATTGCAAATCACAGCAAGACTTCTATATTGATTTCTGAAGAAAGATAATGATTTAAAATGCTGCAGCTGTACATGTGCTTGCATTCCTATTTAATCTTTAATATCCAGCTACAATATCCAATCAAATGAAAATGGGTATAAAACTATAAATCACAATGTATCGCCTCTCTAAACCAAATGTTGCATCATCACGAAACCGGTATACCAAACACTGTATAATCTAGAAGATCATCTAAACCAGACCTTCACGTAGAAAACTATATATCTATGTAACCCTGTATAATCTGGACACCTGTATAAACCAGACCTTCACCTAGAAACTGTGTATATATGTAACCCTTTATAATCTGGACACCTGTATAAACTAGACTTTCACCTAGAACTGTGTATCTATGTAACCCTGTATAATCTGGACACCTGTATAAACCAGACCTTTACCTAGAAACTGTATCTATGTAACCCTGTATAATCTGGACACCTGTAAAAACCAGACCTTCACCTAGAAAACTATATATCTATGTAACCCTGTATAATTTGGACATCTGTATAAACTAGACCTTCACCTAGAAACTGTGTATCTATGTAACAACCAGACCTTCACCTAGAAACTGTGTATCTATGTAACCCTGTATAATCTGGACACCTGTATAAACCAGACCTTCACCTAGAACTGTGTATCTATGTAACCCTGTATAATCTGAACACCTGTATAAACCAGACCTTCACCTAGAAACTGTATCTATGTAACCCTGTATAATATGGACACCTGTATAAACCAGACCTTTACCTAGAATTGTGTATCTATGTAACCCTGTATAATCTGGACACCTGTATAAACTGACATTTATGTAGGTGCCATAGTATGTATGTTTGTGTTAAGAAATCTATTAATTTTAAACAAAAACATCACATTTTATATCCCCAAAACTCAAATTCGAAATCAGTTAGAACAGTCACATTAAAACTTCTTCAGAAATCAAAGAGAAACAAATCCATCAGTTTCTGTGTGTGTCTGCTGTCAGCATTGATCTTTTTAAGTTGAGGAGTACTACTGTATCAGTTATAATCGTGAAGAAGAGTTTGACTCGGAATTATTTTGGCTTATAGAGTAACTTCCCTGTAAAATTGTTCATATGCTCTGTGGTCGATATAGATTGTACAGACATTTTGATGCTGTGCTGGTAAACCATGACTCTGTCTGAACCTTAAAATCCTGGATTCATACATCAACAAAATCACCATCATTGCAGTCATGCAACCTCCAATCCCTGATTCATAGTTAATATGTACTAACCTCGAATCAATCGTTTGATACTGTTATAACGCTATGGATGTACAAACTTTAATTTCGTTCGGAAATTCCATGTTTAATAAAATCCTTGATTCACAAATCCATTAAAAACTTTGATTCACATAATTCAACACATTCATTCCAGTTGTGCCAATCCAAAGTCTTTGATTCACATATAGATCAATATCCTTGATTCACATATCACATTTAATACAGCTGTGATATTCAACAAATTCGTCCCAGTTGTAAATTCTCCAATCCTTTAGCAGCAATACTGACTAAAACAAGGGTTCTGTGAATAACAAATTGACTATTCCCCGAAAGTTGACAGCTGGAGAGAAATGTTACGCTGCATGCAATGTAAACAATTACACTTCAATGTCAAGCTGCTGTGGTGACCTTTCACCTCGACAGAATCATTGCAGCGGTACAAGGAAAGTGCATCCAGTACACCTAGAATGTAGGCTAAGCCAGTGAATGTTATTTTGAATACATTCCACAGAATGACACGGTGACCGACATCTGGACTACAACTGACCAGACACATGTACATAATGTTAATTACAGCTAGCTCCCTCCAGGCTAGGAAAGTATCAGCAGTGCTTACACTTGAGGTGGGTCTAGGGCCATGTAGTGGTATAGTGCCCTAAGTGATGAGATGGGTCCCTGGGGAGCCTAAAGGCTTGTAGGTAATGAATTTGTGTACTACATTTGTTTCACATCGATACACAATTGGTAAGATTTGTATACACTAACTTATCATTATAAAATGTTTTTTCGTGTCATTAGAATGCCGATCAGCACCTTTGTTTCATACAAAATACTTCTGCACTTTCCTTGGCAATATAGTAATGCATTCCCCAAATGTAAAACATACCTCCAACAAATAGGTAAAACATTCTTTGGGATTATTAACTTTTAAATATATATACAATATTACCTGTCTATAACACAACCTTGTATAATCCAGAAACCTATGTAATATGGAACCTTCGAAAACATGACATTAAAACAGATCACCTTGTATAGTTCTATTTACTGAATATGTGCAAACGTGTTTAACATGTTGAACATACTAGTTCCTGCTGTGGTCAGTTAAGACAGGTTTCATTGTTAAGATGTGTACTGGTTCTACAGTTGGTCAGTTTAAACAGGTTTCTTTGTTAGGAGAAATACTGGTTTCACTGGTCAGTTTTGATTGGTGTCATTTTTAAGAGAAATACTGGTTCAAATGGTGGTCAGTTTTGAACATGCAGGTTTCAACATGAATAGAAATGCTGATTCAAGTGATGGTCAGTTTAGACAGATATTGTTGTTTAGAGGTTGTCCCAGTGTATCTCAAAAATACAGTGAAACCTGACTTTACCGACATCACAGAAACCAAAAGTGATCAGATGTACATAAAACAGCACACTGTATTTGTGAAGTTTCTCTTTTTATAGAGGAAGACTAGATTTTTCACCCTCATTACTGACTATTGAAGTCAGCAGAATTTTGTAGGTTTTTGGTCAGTGTCTGCAGTAAAGCACCAAAGTCCATTATAGTCTCCACTACGCTGTTCCAACTGACCAGGAAGTTTTGTACAGGAAGGCTGAAGTGTATTGCCTCGTTCTGTTATAGTTATGTCTGTCTGTCAGCCATCACTGTCTGGTGCAGCGTTTATGGTGGTGATTTACGAGCAGGGAAAAAATACAAGATTTATGTGTGTACTGGTCATCTTTAATTAATCACAGTGCCCGTCTCATACCTATGTTCAGCAATGCTGAGAGTCACACAATGTATATACCTGATTGTGTTACCTTCGTCCTCTCTCCATCATAAAGTTTTTCCTTCCAAAATTGACATCAATGACATCATATGGGAGGGGTGGTAATTACAGAACGAGTTCTTGGCCTCATGAAAATAGTTTTTCTCAGAGAGGCAGAAGGATAGGGGATCAAATGTAGAGGTCAGTGAACAAAGGCTTCTAAAGAAGTCCCCACCCTTTTGTTGTCACCGACAGCCAGACAAAATATAGCAAAGACACTTCTTATTTTCAACAAGGCGACTATATAAACCTCACAGTATAAGGTATAAAGCATCATGTTGTTTCAAGGAAATGATTGCTCGCTCTGTGCTACTTTTCCTTTTCTGCAATCTTGATGTTTTAATGAAATTGCTAAAATGATCATCCTAGGCTATATAACAGTGATACATAACAAGCTGACAACACATAGCCCATTTTGTTACAACAGATCGTAGTACACATGCAATGTAAACAACTTTTTTTTCTTCTCATACATCTCACAAAATCTCCTAAACACATAAACCAATATTCAATCAAAATGAATACCTCACATAGATATTTACTGATATTTCACACAAATAAATTTCTTAACGAAATCTATGTGATTTAAAACCATGAGAGATCTATATGTCTCACTCAATGTAAGATGTAACCATCAACAATTCCACGATAGAAAAACATTGACATGCTGCCTGTCAACTCCAATACAAGGCTGGCGGTGATGGAGCATTGTTAACCAGATGTAAAAAGTAAGAAAAAAACTGCATGACACGCACAGTACTGCGAGTTTTCGTTAATGAAGAGGACTAGATAGAGACAGTAAACATCCAGCTACCTAATCTCGTCTGATGTGTCGAAACAGTGCCACATAATGTATCACAAAAGAAACTTCGATGAATAAAATCCATAAATTACAGCCTCTGTGTAACTCCTATTCTCCGAACTGTCTCCCTCGCTTACCATTAAAAGTTCTACCCAAGCATCGCTAGTTCT